GCAATGCTTGCTGCCAGCAAAGCCCTTGTGGGGTTCAGGTCATGGCTGGTGGCTCTGGGAGCGCACAAACCCACGTGCTGGGTTGTGGAGGGTCAGGAGGTGTCTGGAAGCTGTGGAGGGACATGGGGGCTCCCACCCCTGGGGGCTGGGCAGTCCCCAACCCCTCCCTTGGGGCTGTTCCCCTGGCCAGGCTACTCACCCCTGCTCTGGCTGCAGTGTGCCCAGGCCCCAGAGCTGCAGGAGCATGGGGCCGCGGTGCAGCCCAGCCGTGCTGTGTGTCTCCCCCATGCTGCCATGGCAGTACACGGCCACGTACTGCGGGGCGACCGAGCCCGCGGGACATGGGCACCACTCCAAGGCCCACACAGGACCACCCACGAAGAAGGACACGTCCAGGCGCTCCGGGTGGGGCTGCAGGGAGCTAAACCTGCCAGTGGGGACAGGGGTGAGGGCAGAGGGAGACAGCCGTGTCCTCACCCCAGGGCACACTGGGACCAGTCCTGAGGCCACAGCAATGACAGCCATGGCCTGGCAGAGTCCCCAGCACCGACCTGTTCACCCTGTACAAGATTCCGTCATCTTTGATGCCCTCCCGCTGGATGGAGAAGAGGGGAGACTTCTCCTCTGCTGGTAGGTATGGGGCCGCTTCACTGGGGAGGCAGAAGAAGGTGAGAAGGTATCCCTGTCCCTCATCCCGTCACCCCCAGCCCCTACCCCAGCCTGGTCACCCCAAGGACTGCCAGGATTCCATGGCCAAATCCACAAGACCTCCAAAGCTCCCAAGAAAGCCCCATCCTGACTGCTGTGGCCTGGCCCCACTGAAGAGGCACCCACTATACCCTCCCTGCCCCCAGCCCCCACAGCCAAGGCTGTCTGCTCTGTCCCAGCTCCCCCTGAGCACTGCCCAGCCCTGCCCCACCATGCAACCCCTCCCAAAACCCCCTCCCCAAGCTGCCCCAGCCGCACCTTTCGGAGAGACATGTCCATTTGTGTGCTGAAGGGATCCAGTCAGGAAACTCCCACTGTGAGTGCTTCTGATCCCGCCTGCAGCCAATGGGCCAGACCTCAGTCATCACCTCCTGTGCCCTGCCTGCAGCCCCCGGGCAACCTGCAGCCCCCTCAACCCTGCCCACAGCACAAGCAGCCCCCTCCAAGGACTTGCAGCCCCTGCCTGCCCCCCATCCCCTACTCAACCCAGCACAGCACAGCAGGATGCTGACATTTCCGATGGCATATGCTCCATTCTCCTTGTGCCTGTGATAGTGATGGTACCCAGGACCCCAGCAGCCCACCCTGAGACCCCCAGCATCCCCAAGCCCTCACTCACAGGCTGCAGGTTAGGCTGGAGCACTTCTCCACTGGGGCCATGATGGAGTTGTGGAAGCCATTGGGAGCGACACCTCGGCACTGGGGCTTGGATCTCTGGGCACAAGAGTGGACTTAGAGCTGCCTCTGCCAACCCCAGTGTCCTCCAAAGCCCACAGGGGATCTGCCCATCCTAAGGGCACCAGTGCAGCCCGCAAGCAAAGAGCTCTGCCACAGCAGCAGCAGGCACTGAGACTGTATTCCACAGGATTAGAGACAAAGTCCCATTCTGGGGACTTCCACGAGTCACAGGATCCTGCCCTTACCTCCACCCAGCTTCAGCCCAAGGCCCCACACCCTTTCCCAGGAGTTCCTGTGCCTTGTCCCCATCCACCCCCCTTGGAGATGCCTCTGCCTACAGTTAAGCCCCAAGAGCTGCTTGGATTCAGAGCTGACTGTGCCACCCCCAACTGAGCCCTGCTTTGGAGCTGTCCTGCGCCAGACAGCTGGGGTGGGGACACAGCTCGGACACTTGGTATTGTTCATCCAAAGGGAAGAAGTGACCATGGCAGAGACCTTGCCTTTGACCCTGCCCTTACCCCTGCAGACGACGTTTTCCCACCATGTCCTCGGAGAGGCTCCAGCTCCTGCTCTGACACCTCACTGAGCCCCATGTCACTCCCCTCTTCCTCCTCCTCCTCCTCTGCCTGCAGCAACACCTCCTTTGAGGGCACAAAGTCAGCATCTTGCCCAGGATCATCGCTGTCTGTTTCCTCCTCCTTCCTCCTGCGGCTCCGGCGCTTCTTCTGGACTCGCTCAGGCTCTGGCTCCTGGGCTCCCTCGGTGGGAGGCGGAGGCTGGTACACAGACGTCAGCTCCTCTGCCAGCTCCTGCAGGTACAGCAAAGCCCTGGGGCACCAGAGGCATTGCCCGGAGGTGAGCAGGGGGAAAGCACAGGGACCAGCCCTCCCTCCTTCTGCCCCACCCTGCAGGACCAGGCAGAAGCACCACTCCAGCTCGGGGTCAGGGTGAGCAGTTTGCTCCAGCCCTGCCTGGCCAGGCTGCAGTAGAGCCCATCTAGATGCTGTGCCAGCACTGGGACAGCCAGCATCCCCCACCCCTCTCCCGGGAACGCCGCTCCAGCTGCAGGGAGGCATGCAGCTAGCAAGCAGAGCATGGCCTGGCCCTTTGCCAGCCAGAAAGCAGGAATTTTGCTTTTGCCAGCCAGACACCCTCCCGTGAGTGTCCTTGGCTAGGGGAACTCCCATCTCTCACTGTGGGTGCTGTGTCCTCCCCCTGCACAGCCTGGTGAAGGGAAAGGGACACTGTGACCCCACCAGCTCTGTCCCTTCAGGTACCCAGAGCACAGGTACTGCCTGAGCTGCCTTCAGAGGCCCTGGAGCACAGGAGATTCCCCTGGGGAACCAGTCTGCCCCACCGATGTGGAATAAAGTCCTTAGGAAAGACAAAAAGACCCCCCAGGCGAGACAGAGGTCTTGAGGAGCCACGCTTGACAGCAATTCCCACCCTGTCCTTCCGAACCCCCCCAGATCACCACCTGCTGCCCCTGCTCACACTTTGGCTGCCCGCCTTTTGGGGCGCCCACCAGGGGGGTTCTCTGGACCTTCGCCCCCCTCGCTGCTCCCCAGCATCTTCTGCACGCAGATGGACTCCGGGGCCGGACACTCCAGGTCCTGAGAGAGCTTCAGGAGCAGCATCTCCGCCTTGGGCTTCCGCCCACACCTCCTGGTGGTCTTCGGGGGCGGCACAGCCCCGTTCTCCGAGGTCCTGGAGGGCTCACCGTGCCCCTCGCTCTCCGCCGGTGCTTCACCACTGGGGTCACTGGGGCCACTTTTGCCTTTTTTGTTCCGGGTATTTTTCGGGGGGGGGGGGACTTGCTAGCTTCCTCGGAGAGCCCCGAAGAGTCCAGATCTCCGAGCGGCGACAATTCCCCTGCTCCAAAAACAGCAGCCAGAATCAGCATAAAAACGCAGCAGGGGTCTCGAAACGTGTGTGTGTCCCCCTCCCCCCAGTCCCCCCAGTGCTCCCCACGGGGCAGGACGCGCTGCCGGGGCAAAGGCGGCTGCGGGCCCCCCCGCCC